ACCTCCCAGGAATTGTGAGGTCCAGTCAGAAGGTGCGCATGACGTCATACCGCCGGGCCCCCCAGCATCCCTCGCAAGTGGCGACGGTCATGTAGGTCTGCGTATGACGTCGTTCGGCCGGGCCCCCCTAGCAGGCGACAGTTCCGCATATCGCAGCCCACCAGGAGAGGTGAGATCCATTCTGTGTCTGCGTATGACGTCACCCCGCAGGGCCCTCCAGGAGCCCTCGAACCTGGCGACAGCTTCGCAGTTCGCAGCCCCCCAGGGAAGGCGAGGAGGCAGGGTAGCCGGCAAGTGGGAGGCAGGGCAGAAGGCAGAGGGCAGGGTGCCAGGCAGGGTGCCAGGCAGGGAGGAGGTGGGGGCGGGAGGACGAGGCCTGCGGGAGACGGAGGTCGCGACCCCGCAGTGCTCTGTTCAAAACGACACCCCCTACTCCGACCTTCTTCTTGATCAACTGGGGGGTGACGAACGTGAAAACGCGGCGCGGCCAACCCCCCCTGGGCACCACCCCCGCGCCCCAGCAGGGAAGGGAACGAAACCCAGACCCCCCCTGGCACCCCCGCGGACGCGCCGCGGCCAATCCCCCCTGGCATTCCAATGGGGGCGATTCTTAAGCGATCCAGAGTACGCAGAAACGCTGGGGAACAAAAGCTCCTGGCACTCCCCGGGGGGCCTCCACTCGCCGCCGCCCCCGGCCCCAGACCCCCGACGTCATGATCCTTCGACCCCCAGAGGCCTCGACCCATTTCCCAGGACCCGTTTCTCGTCCGGCGTCGTTTTTTGACGGTCCCGAGGGCCGGTAAGGGCCCCCCAAAGGCCTAAAATAGCGAAAACCCCCCCGTCGTGCTTTCTTCATGACTCGAGGGGGTCCCCGGCGCGCGGCGCCCTTCTCTGAGCCGGCGCCCAGGCGCTCCGGGCGCGGGCGGCCGACGCCGAGGCGAGGGCCCGGGACGCGGAGACTGGCCTGATCGGCTGGCGCCTGGAGAGCGTGCACGCTGCGAAGGCCCCGCGCCCGCCGCGGCGGTCCGCTGGCGGGGCTTTGCGAGCAACCCAGAGCTCCTCGAGTCGTGAAGCAGTCACGACGGAAGGTTTTTCTATATTTTCGGCCTCTGGGGGCCCTCTCCGGCCCTCGGGACCGTCCAAAAACGATTCGGGAGGAAAAGCCGGTCCCGGAGAAAGGGTCTGGACCTCTGGGGGTCGCGTCATCCGAGAGATCCGCGCGGACCTCCGAGTTTTTATGTTTGTGTCATGTTTCGTTCCCCGAACAATGCCCAACAACAAGTGTGGTGCCCAAAAACCAACCGGCGGCCGCTGTCGGGCAGGCGGCCTTCTGTCTCAGGTGGACAGCGTCCGCGCCGACGCCGACAGCGAACCCTGCTCGGAATGAACAAGAGCTGCTGCTGGACTTTGCCTCCATGCCATTCCTCGTCCCCCTGATCTGCCGTTGGGCTCTGTGCCCACTTCTTCCCGCACCCCCGTCGGGCGGCCAGGCCCGCTACCCCGCCCTCCGCGGACCCGGGTGTCGGAGCTGTGCCTCGTGGCTGGCCGGGCTCCGCGACGGGGCCCCGGCCGACCCCGGCGCCCCGCGCCGCGCAGGCCCCGCCCGCTTCGGCGGCCCAGCGGAGCGTCTCCCCGCGAGCGGCGTCGAGGGAAGAGGCAGGACCAGCCTGGATCTCCGTGGGGGGTGCTGAGTGGACAGGGGGGGGGCTCTAAGCGGATGCTGCGGTGGGCTGTTCGGAAAGTGGAGCATGTGCACTGCCAGTTGCGGCTGGAGGGTCGGGGACGACGTCGGGGCGGTGTGGTGCATGACTCGTTTTGCCGCTCCCCGGGGAGGCGACGACACATGTACACACCGGGATCCCGTGCACACCAAGGCTTCGCTCTCCTCTGCAGGTATCCGTGTCGGGCCGGCGACGGCGTCGGTGTGCATGGTTCGGTGCTCCTCCTATAAGCGGATGCTCAGGCTGGGTCAACACGTGGGCGCCCGGCGAGCGCCCACGCCGTGCAGGCGCCGCCCCGATTCGGCGGCCCGCCGGCGGGCCTCCGCGAGCGACGTCGATCGGGGCTCACCCCACGGGGGGTCTCAGAGTCAACGGCGGTCAGCCACTCCCTTCGGTCGGGGAGACGTGAGGCTCGGGCACGGAGGGCTCGGGTGGGCCTGACGGGGGGCCATCAGTGAAAATGACGAGACCCGATCTGAAACGTGGCGCGAGCTCCCGCTGCAGACATCCCACGAAAACGGGACCGTCAAACTCCAGGACGCGCTCGTCAAAAAACATATCGGCAAACCCCGAGTTCCGGCTTACTCGAGTCTTACGTTTCCCTGATTCTGGCTGACCGAGACTCCCAGGCTTCCTAGTTTTAGCCGGGGGCGGGCGATTGGCCGGCGCCTCGCCCGATGCCTTCGGAGAGGTCACGGCGCCAGCCGTGGAAGAGCGACCCTGCGTCCGGGTCGACGTCGGGGGTTCGTAGAGGGAGGGTTATCCCAAGGTGGGGCTGGGGAGCGGGCCCAGCCGGACGCTCCCGTGTAACGCGTTTCTTTCTTCCAGGGGCCGTCGGGGGGACTTTCTCGCCAACCCCGGCTTCTTTGCCCCTGCCCCACCTTCGTGCGGAATCGGCCCTACGTGGTTCCCAAACCGGGGTCAGCCAGCAGTTATTGACTGGCCTTAGGTCCGGCATGTCCCCCTACAGGCGGACTGGGGACGAAAGATATAATATAGAAAAAAAATGCCCCCCAAATATATTCCAAAATGATCAAACAAATCGTCTCCAGACTATTTTGTGGACTATTTTTGAATACTCCCCCTGTAGAGGGACAGGCCCGGCTGAAGATTGGCACCTGGTGGCGCCGACACCCTCATTTGCGTGAGCCCGGGTTTGCGGGAGCTGCTCCGTGGCCGGCTGGCATTCGCGCCGCGGCCCCTGGCCGACCTGGGGCTGTGCTGACCCAGGTTAGTGCGTCCCCGACGTCGAGGCAAGAATTATGATGTTCCAACCTGCCCTAGCCTTGATCACCAGGCAGAATTTCGAGCGCCAAACAAATACCCCCAAACTCGAGGGTTTTCACGTGTCGGGCCCTGGGAGACACTGTTTCTACACTGTTTCGATACCCTTTCGACACTTGTCTGGGTGCTCGAAATTATTTCTGTCATGTGGTCCTTAAGTACGATGGGAGCAACATAAATCGAGGCAAGATTTGAGTATGCTCATGGGCCAGGTTCCCTGCCTTTCTGTAGAGCTGCGCGCAGGAACCTGACAACTTTCCTGGTCGTCGGTGCAGCGCTGGAGGTATCGGCGGGTCGCCCATGGCGGCCAGTTGATCCCAAACAGACATTGCAGATCGAGAGAGAAAGTGGCACGTCTCCCGAGCGTCCTGCGCCCCAACCCTCTAGACCTGGCTCCCCAGGCACACTCAAGGCAAGAAGGACGGTGACCATGGCCGAGATGTCGCGGTATCTTGTCGATGCCGACTCTGGGCATGGTTCACGCCGACCGTCGCCGAATCGCGAGGATGATCCACGAAACGACGGTGGGCAAGACGGACGATGACCAAGACTAACACAGACGCATCGCCCACCAAACCAGCCCAACCCAACCCGAAGGCCCCGATTTGCCCTCCAGTTCCAGGGTGTGTGGGGGGGGGTCGGGGAACATTGGAAAAACACGTGTGGAACCCGTACCCCCCCCAATCCGAAATTCGGGTCTTCGGGTTAGGTTGGGTTTGCCTGGTAGGCAGTCAAAGACTGACACATATGCTTCCTCGTTCAGTCTTGGTCACGGTCACCGTGGTCTTTCCTCGAGGGAGAAAAAACCACCCGGACCGGACAACTGGCGTTTATTCATCAGCCTTGGGCGTTTACTAAACAGCCTTGCCCTGTTCGGTTCCTTCAGTGGGTGCGGTTACTAAGCGGCTTCGCGTGCCGGGGTGGTTATTGTCGGTGTGTATTTTCTGCCTTTTATACAGTAGACACATCAACAAGAAGTCGGCCTGCCAGCGGGTGCCCCGCGGAAATGCCATATCCCCCGACGGCCCCATGGACCCACAGAAGCTCTTCTGTGGCACCCCAGGGCGCTGTGCTGAGCCTTCCCCGAGGACAGGAAAACCTTCTCAGAAGGCGCGAGGGCATCTGAGAGGTCCCGCCGTCTTCTGAGAAGGCCCTCTCCTTCCGTAGACGGGCTAACGGCGATGTAGGTAACGGCGATGTAAGTTTCTGTATTGTGGGAACGCGTGGTTCGCGCTTTCCTGCAATTCGCTGTGTCGTGTTCGCTCGATCCATTCGCAGATAGGACATGTAGGAAAATGTGGTTCGTGATTTCCTACACTTCTGGTTCCCAACATTACCGTTAAGCAACATCGCCGTCAGCCTGGCCTTCGTCCTTCTCACTTCCCCCCCTCGCCCGCCGCCATATGTCGCGTTGTGGTGCAGTCTCCCCGGCTTGGTGAGACTATCGGAGCCCCGAGCCTCACCAGATGGGCCTGCTTTCCACCGCCACCATCAGTTGGAGGGGGGAAGGAGGTGGAGGAGGAGGAGGAGGAGGGGGAGGAGGAAGAGGAGGAGGAGAAAGAGGAGGAGGAGGAAGAGGAGGAGGAGGAGGAGGAGGAGGGGGAGGGAGGAGGAGGAGGAGGAGAAGGAGGAGGAGGAGGAGGAGGAGGAGGAGGAGGAGGAGGAGGAGGAGAGAAAGAGGAGGAGGAGGAGGAGGATGAGGAGGAGGAGGAGGGGGAGGAGGAGGAGGATGAGAGGAGAAGGAGGAGGAGGAGGAGAGGGGGAGGAGGAGGAGGAGCAGGACCCCCTCCCCCTCCTACCTGTGGTGGCGGTGATGGAAAACGAGCCCACTTTCTCCCCTCCCCCCCCGAGCCGAGCGAGCGTCGAGCCCAGCCCTCGACATCCCCCCCCCCCCAGGCGGCCAGTGCCCCTCGAGCCTCGCTGCGTCCTTTCGGCCTCGGCCCCCTGCGTCCTTTCGGCCTTTCGCGGGGCCTCCTGCGTCCGTCGGCCTCGGCC